TGCGTGCCCCCAATATAATAATTATTATTATCATCATTATTATTAACATAGTTGTATGTAATATATATGTGTCCTGCTTTTTAGTACTATGCTTTTAGATTGTCAACTGTTCTGGCAACGATGCATAACACGTAGGTTGTCCGTCCAGTGATTGTAACGGACCCATCACAGCACTTGTCTCCCACCCTCTTTCCTGAGGACGGAAACAGATCCAGTGTCCGAAAGAATGTGTTCTTTAGAATATCGGACGATGGACAAAGTCCAGAAACTCAGTAAACCCGAAGCTAAGCTTTTGCGCGTGTTATTATAATTAGCAGTATTCTGCACTGTGCTGATTCCGTAATTGGCCGTCTAATTACTGACGCAAAGGAATTATAAGTAATTGAATTGTCGTCGTCATGATCATTGCATTTTTATGAATGTTCTAAGGGCAAAATAAATTGTTACTCTTATGAATAACATTCATCTTCGTGTACCAACTAAATTAGGGATTTCCCCATTGTTACTGGAAGCAGTAGGCTTAATGTAAGGTCTAGCTCTTCAGTTATGAGCGCCACTGCTGCTGCTAGTAGCGTTTTTCATTTTATCCGGTGTTCACAGAACACGGTTTCTATGAATGATTGGCTTTCCTTCGTAAAAAAGTTAAAATGAAGGTAAAGCTATCCCTGTAATAGGCCGTGCAGGCCAATAGTGCACGAGGAACCGTAGTTGGTCGAGGCACTGGACTACAAGCCGGAAGATCGCGGGTTCGATTCCCGATGAGATCATCGGATTTTTCAATTGATCTTATCTTTCACCCGCACTATGGCCCTGAGGTCGACTCAGCCTGTAAGAGAAATGAATACCAGGCTTCTTCCTGGGGGTAAAGGGCAGCCGGCTCATAAGGCTGACAAACTCACTGCCATCTGTTAGTTTACTGTCTAGAAAATGTGGGAGCCTCGACGTCTCACAGTCATATGGGCTTTATCCTTTGTAAAGTTCTTACATTCTTATTTTTTATATTCTTTCTTTACTTTTTTCCTGTCTTGTTCATGCATTTGAAATGCTTACTTGTAAGTATGCGTGTCCGTTGCCAAGCGCTCTAATAAAACAGATTTAACTGATTATTTTACATTATGATAAAGTAACCTGATTTAATGTTCGTGCTTCAATTAACAGCTCCAATTGTTCTGGCTTTTTGCGCAACCAGAAATAAGTTCAGAATAAATAGGACGTTAATTTATTCTGTAGTTTTAAATCGGTAATAATTTTGCTTTATTTTAGAACATATCGTTCACAATGCAGAAATTATTCAGAACAAATTGTTAGTGATGATGTAACGCATGTTATTCTCATTGCGCCCTGATGGGTGAGGCCCTCTGCCCGTTATCACTCCGAACTAATCTGGAACTATGAATATCGTAGACAGTCGATAGGTCTTGAACGAGGAATCAGCCCGACGCAAGGCCGCTACCTACACGCAGAGCAACACAAATACAGAATAAACGCACACAGATATCCATGCCTCAAGTGGGATTCGAACCCACGATGCCTGTGCTTGAGCGGGCGAAGACATTTCATTCCCTGAAGAGCGCAGTCACTGTGAGAGAGGCTTAGTTAATCGGGAGAGAGCGTAAATTACTTAATGAAATAGGACGATTTCGTAAAGCAACGTAGGATTGTTAAATAGCTGAACAATGCATCGAACGATAAAGATCCTGGATTGCAATCTGCTGAATGCGTGTTCAAGTCTGGGTCGAAACGTCGACTATCACATAGTAGGCGATTAATAAAGAAGAGTCAGTTGATATATTACTAAGCCTATTGCTATCTCTAGCCTCTTCTTATAGGTCCGTATATTGCTACTAAACTTCCCTTTTCCTATCCATTCATTCAGAAGAATATCCCCGTAGGAGACGAGGCCTTCGCTGCCACCAGAGGTCAATTTGGTGAGAAACTTTGGTCGTGTATCCAAGCATTTAATAATAAACTTTTAACGCCTGACAGATATAATTATCCGTGGCCTAAACTTGGGCCATATCTTAAATGACCTCTAAAGTTTCTCCCTTTCGGAAACCCGTTAAATTAAATTCGTAGGGGGTAATTCAAGGTGGCAAGTTTGAACAAACTTGTGTATATTCACACACTGACACGTCGTAATCAGAGATACGGCTCATGCTTCCTTCTCCAGCTGTCGTATCCATAAATTCGTAACGTAGTGTATACAGAGTGCCCACCGATGCGTGGGATGGGGGGGGAGAATTATCCATAATCGTGAGTGAGTAAAGTAAGGGACGAAGTTGCGTTTTGGAAATGAGATAATTAGGTTCAAGTTTGTGTGGGCGCGTAGAGCTATGGAATTATTATAGGCCTATGGTCGGTCGTCATTAGTGGCCGTACAAGAGTAGTAATAGTAGAGAGGGAGGGTTAGAAATAGGGAGAAATGTCTGATAACCTCGTACCCACCTCCCTCAACTCGATTCGTTTCCCTGTACAGTTCTAGTCACCACCCTTCTACCCTTAAAACTGTATCCCCCTTCCGCTAAGGATAATCTAGACCCCTTCGCATTTCTCATCTATATACGCACCCTTCAGTGGAAGGGCTAATGACGCAAGATCTGGGTAATCAGCGCCCAACCCTTAATTATTTTAAACGGCCAGCCTATTCTTCGTACAGTCGCATTCGCTTCATTTGAATCCTCACATTTCTGTCAAAGGATTGCCACAGGATTATTACACGATTCTCTTGCTAACCGTGTTCAGATTAACGACTGTATAGTACAGTAATAACAAGGTACAGTGTTTAGGCAGTAGGCACACTAATCGAATCGAGTTCAGTCCGTTAGAATCGCATATGACTCACTAAGATCCCGTAAAGGCAGACCCTTTTATTTTGTATAGACTTGCTGTGAACTACTCGCACTGTATAAGGCGAGTATAGTGAAGCTACAAGGTTCGCCTTGGAGAATTTTTGGTGAGTCAGGCTCGAGTCTACTCTCATGGACCCATCTCGCTTGGTGTATCTCAGCATCTTGGTGAGTCAGGCTCAATTTGACTCACATGGACTCGCCTCGCTTGGTGCAGAGCAGCATCTTGGTGAGTCAGGCTCAATTCGACTCACATGAACCCGTCTCTCTTGGTGCAGAGCAGCATCTTGGTGAGTCAGGCTCAAGTCGGCTCAATTCGACTCGCATGGACCCGTCCCGCTCGGTGTACCAAAGCATCTTGGTGAGTCAGGCCCGGTTCGACTCGCTCGGTGTACCAAAGCATCTTGGTGAGTCAGACTCTGTTCGACTCGCACGGACTCGACTCGCTCGGTGCACCGCAGCATCCTGGTGAGTCAGGCTCGTTTCGATTCTCATACAGTCGATTCGTTTAGCGAGCCAGCAGCCCTTAAGCGAATGCTTTGCTAATACATTACGTCGAAACGGTATAGACCTATGTGATTAGTACCCAAACGCCAAGAGTTCGTTGTGTATAAAAGACACATGCTCCACTGTTTATGACGTAGTAAGTTGTCTCAAGCGATAACGCCTCGGGTTTGTATTGGGGAAGCCGTAGGTTTGACTCTCGGCGGAACACAAATTATCGTGATTGTCCTTGTCATTGTTTTCACCGATCTCTTGAATTATATTCCGGGATTTTACCCTGAAGTAAGCCAGGACAGCTTCCTTTAACATATTTTCCAATTCTTCATTAGGTAATATTGCTACCATCAGATAATACATAAGCTGATCTAGTCAGAGCTTCCTTAAATTAGCCATAAGACATGGGATGTAGACTAATAATTACTTACAATTTCTATATTAAAATCCCTCACAACACAACAATATCAAGGTCAAGGCCTTGCAGTTTATATTCCCTACGGAACGGACAAATATATTGTAAAATGAGGCACCGGCCAAACAATTAACGTCAGTACTATACTACATCTATACCACGGGCCTCCAAAGCAGAATATACCATTATGTCCGCGGGAATATAACAAAATTGCAACAACCAATAACTGACTTGATGATATAAAACATCACATGAAGAGTCTTAACTTTGTTTTACCCTATAACTTTCGTTTCTATATAGCCTAGTTCATTGTACTTTTATGCCAAGCATTTTATAATGTAATATTATCATGTATCCAGTTTTACCAGTACCGCAGTTCAGTGGTGTGAATATGTGAATCATGTATTTGCCTGATTATGACTTTAATAGCCGAGCCACTCTTGGCCTTGACCTTGATATTTTTATTTTGTGACGGATTTTAATAAAGAAATTGTATATTATAACACTACAGGATGCGCGAAATGAAAATGAGAAAATAATAATAACTTTCTTACTTACTCACTTAGAAGCACAATAAACCACTGTAGGTCGCGGTGCAAGGGCCGAGGAGGCCTACCCCTCATTCACGGAGCTGAGCCCTTCTGGTGTAGCCGCGAATTCTGCAGCTATTCAATAATTTCCCAGCATTTTATGGAACCCGAAAGTTCATTACCGTGTTCACAAGAGCCCTCAATTGCTCCCTATCCTGAGCCAGATCAATCCAATCTATGCCATCCCATCCTACTCGTATCTGTCTAAGATCCATTTTAATATTATCCACCCACCTACGCCTTGGTCTTCCCTGTGCTAATGTAGAAATTTAAACAAGGTAAAGCTATCCCTGTAACACGTCGTAGAGGCCCATGGAGTTGTTAGACGTTGAGGCTCCCACATTTTCCAGACAATCGGCTCAAAGATGGCGGTGATGTCAGCCTTACGCGCCGGCCGTTCTTTACCCGCAGGAAGATTCCTGGTACTTATATCTGTTAGAGGCTGAGTCGACCCAGGGCCATAGTGCGGCTGGAAGGATTAGGTCAATTGAAAAGTCAGGTGACCTTATCGGGAATGGAATCCGCAACCTTTCGGCTTGTAGCATGACGATTCAACCAACTACGCTACCGCGTGCTCCCCAATAATCGCTAATGTACCGACGAAATGTGAGGTGGACAGTGTGGGCTAAATATTTTTAATTTGTTTTTCAGATAATTTCTGTGGCGTGTATGACCCGATGAGATCTGACCCCTGGGAAACTGCCTGGAACTGTCACCTGACTGCAACCGGTGAGTACTGAATACAGCCATGTCACTAATCATTTTGGATGAAATATTGGAAACTAATTACTGGTGGTGTGTGTTGCATGTTCTGGTGTCTGGGTCGAGGCGAAGAACAAAAATGCGATGTTATTTCGCTTCTGTAACCTGATGTGATAAATTACGATCATGAAACGTGAAACGACGTTTAGTATGAATGGCGTGGGGATGTACAAGTCTGAAAGGAGGAGCTCATTAGTAACTCCTGGTCCTGTGACATCGTTTATTTGTTTCCTAGACCTGTAAGGTAAAGCTATCCCTGTAACAGGTCATGGAGGCCTATAGGGTTGTGAGACGTCGAGGCTCCCACATTTTCTCTGGATAGCGGTAAGATTGTCAGTCTTATGCGCCGGCCTCACTTTACCCCCAGGAAGATTCCTGGTACTAATTTCTGTTAGAGGCTGAGTCGACTCCAGGGACATAGTGCGGCTGGAAGAATTAGGTCAATTGAAGAAATCCAGTGACCTCATCGGAAATTAACCCACCGCCTTCCGGCTTGTAGCATAATGCTTGAAACAACTACGCTACCGTGTACCCCTTTGTAGTCTTGTGGCATTGTTTATTCGATTTTTAGACCTATGGCATATTTGGGGGCACGTGGTAGCATAGTTGGTTGAGGCACTATGCTACAAGCCGGAAGGTCGCGGGTTCAAGTCCCGACGAGGTCTTTGTATTTTTTGTCAATTGATTTAATCCTTCCAGCCGCACTATGGCCCTGAGGTCGACTCAGCCTCTAACAGGAATGAGTACCAGGAATATTCTTGGAATATACTTGGGGGTAAAGGGTGGCCGGCGCGTAGGGCTGACAACCTTGCCGCCATCTATGGGCCGATTGTCTAGAAAATGTGGGAACCTCAACATCTCACAACCCTATAGGCCTCCACGGTCTGTTACAGGGATACCTTTACTTTTTTATATGACATATTTAGTACAGTGAGGAGACATTGAATGTGACATTTGAGGTTTTCACAGGGGTAAGTATTAATACGTATTACCGTGTTCTGGGGTATGACGCTGTATAGTCAGGGTCCTAAATGAATGGATGTTGAAGCAGTTATTGACCGAATTGAGGGATGGAATGGTGAAGCCAGTGTAAAGGACACCGTAGAAGAAGGCAACAGTATGTCAGAGCTGCTCGTCTTTCGGTGCGAAGTACGCTGTTTCCTCCAATTCCGGTTCTGAACTTAAATTGTAAAAGATTCAGAGCCGTTTTATATACGTCGGAACACTTTCTAGTGGCATCTGACAGATGTTAGAGATGGACAGGGCATGTAACACGAATGAGGTAAGAAGAATTAACGTAGGGTTTTTGTGGGAAAGTCAGAATGAAAGAGACTACTAGGAAGACAAACGCGTAGGTATGTACGTCGGAACGTTTTCTAGTGGCAGATGTTTAAAGAGGGGCAGGGCACGTAGCACGCACGGGATAAGAGGAATGCATGTAGGATATTTGTGGAAGAGCAAGAAGGAAAGAGACCACTAGGAAGACATACGCCTAAGAGGGGCGATAATATTAAAATGGGCAGGGCGTGTAGCACGCTTGGAGATAAGAGGAATGCACGTAGGATTTTTTTGGGAAAGCCAGAAGGAAAGAGACCACTAGGAAGACACACACATAAGTGGGGCGACAATATTAAAATGGATATAAAGTGAAATATGATATGGACTTGATTGATCTGGCTCAGGATAGAGACCAGTGGGGGTTCTTGTGAATACGATAACAAACCTTCGGGTTCCATAAAATGTTTGGAAATTCTTGAGTAGTTGAGGACCTGGTGGCTTCTGAAGAAGGGCTCAGCTCCTTGCGGTTAGTTAGTTAGTTAGTTAGTTAGTCAACCGGTTATCTACCGGATGTTAAACAGTATAAAGCCTCCCACAACTATTAAAATGAATTCAACAATACACTTCATTCTATTTTGGTGACATCCAGTCGAAGGAGCCCTGATTTCGTGCCCGCACTATATATCAGTATATAATTAGCTCAGTCCTTTGTATGTAGCTATGGCTTCAGGCACGGTAGCGTCTAACTTGTAACGTTTACGTCAGCACACGCATCAAGGTGTTCGTTAGGAATTTTGCAGACTCATTTCATGCTACATTCTGAATGTATGATGCTTCTTTATGCACGACAATAAATGTAATCATGTTGGTGAACAATGATTTCTTTGTACACGTATTACAGCCAAATGTTATTCGTGGCTATCTTTTATCAGCCGTATTATCCAAATATATAAAGTATAAGGCTTGCTCTTCTGTCGTTATCTGTATTAGCAAGTAGTTTTGAATAGAAGCAAGAGATGGCATCAGTGGACGTAATGTTTGAGTCAGAATTACTGTGCCCATCTTTACCGAAAACATTCCAATATTTGGCGAGTAATGCAATCCACTTTTCTCCAGCCTCCTATTACTACAAGGCTCCTTGTAACATTTCGTAACAAGTCCTTATCTTATGACGAGGAATTTTTAGCCCCACGCCCAGTCCCGGAATCTAGGGAATCAGGCTTGTCGGCTGTCCACTACTGCTTATTCGCTGTTACCTTCCATATATGGAGGCAGTTTCCTCAACCCTGAGGACGAGCCTTGCCATGGTGACTGGATTAATATGACTCGGATAGAAACTAGTGAACACGGTACTGAACCTGCCGGTTCTATAAGATGCTGGAAATTTCTGGTACTTTATGTCTGATGAGATCCAAATATTCTGTGATAGGCTAAGTTTCACACCCAGATAAAAGTGGGAGCTGAATTATAGATTTATATACGGAAGGAGATTTCTTTGTAGAAAGACTACTGGCTGCCATATTCGAATTGAGATTTCTTGGAAAACTTAGCTGCAAATAAATACGCTCGACAGAAAGATGGGTACAGTGTGGGGCCCTACACAAACAGCCTAGTTCCGGGACTTCAACATTCATCTTCGTGATGTGACACGGAAGGAAAATAAAAGCAGGAAAGAAACAAAAACACGCGGTGACCTCTGAGGAAGAAAGCCGACATCCTTCGTGTTGGACTGGATACAAGCAAACTCTCCTGTCAAGCCGGTGACCGCAACCATTTGGCATCGGGCTTCATTCCCTCCCGGTGTTTGGTTTTGTCTTCGTGGGAATGGTAACATCCCCCAGACACCAGGGGTGTCAGCTGCCAATAACTACGTATTTGATGCGTCTGCTTTGAATTAGTTACCAGGTGGTCGCTATTACTCGGCACATGTCCCAGATTTGTCTCATTATGCTGGCTAAATTGTTTAGAAACGCCCGAGTTGCTGGTGTGGGTGAGATTTAATGTAGGACGTTAGGACTTTACTGCAGGGTTTGTTGTACTCGCTGGAGCAGTTGCCTTTATTCGAAGAGATAAAACCGTAGAACCAGAAAACTTCTCCAGTGCAACACAAAGGCGAAAAGTAAAATTGTCTACGTGCTTAATTGATTAAGCGCTGTGCCATGAAGACGTATTGGGGGAATGAAGAGGAAGCTGAACCATTCTTGACCTCGGCATCAGATAGAGGAGAGTGGCCAGCTTCACACCTCGGCCGCTTTTTTCTTGGGAAACAGCGGTGCCCATTGTATAGGAAGCTGGATGTGGTCCAGAACCAATCTGGACGCTATGGAGGAGAGGAGAATATCTTGCCCCTGCCAGGAATCGAACACCGACCGTCCAGCCCGTATCCCGACTGAGGTAACAATTTTTTTTTAATTCGCTTAGTGGGGGGTGAGTCCAACTGGGTCCACTCGGCACGGCAGCCACTGATTGGCCTATTGTACCTGTCCCGGGTTATTATGATGATGGAGAATATTGGTGGAATGAAGATTGGCAGGGGAAACTGAAGTACTCGGAGAAAACCCGCCACAGCGCCACTTTGACCACCACAAATCCCATTTGACCAGACCCGGGATCGAACCCGGGCCACCGCGGTGGGAAGCCAGCGACTAACATACCGACTGAGGTATCTCAGCTTCTGTCAAATGCAACGAACTCTTTATTCTTTTTTGTTGTTTCTCTTTCTTCGTCTTATCTTCTCTTTTCTTTCTTTTCTAGAATGGATTTGTTCCGGCTTTAGTCCACCTTACGGGAACAATTAATATAACTTGTTCTTCGCGAACCTATTCAGAAGGAGTTTGGTAAGCTTCCTTGTACTTCTGTCTACATGTCCTGCTCACCACCATGAACTCAATCTTTTCTCGTATGAATAGAATGATATGTTCAGATTTCTTATATTATCGCTCTCATGCCGCTGGGTTTATGTAACTATAGAAATTGATACAGGGTATTAAAATATCCAAACGTGAAAATAAAGTAGTCGTGATTTCGCATTACAAAATTCAGGGCTATCTGGACTAAGCACTAAAATTAATCATTTATATGTTGCGTGCTACGTGTCCGGCCAATCCCGTTCCCTTTGATTTGATTATCTTAACAGTTCTGAGTGCAAGCGAATCCCGTTACTGTGAAATTTTACCGTCATCCTTTGCAGCCTCTTCTCAAATATCCTCACATATTCCCGTCTTCTGGATTGTAACGTCGTGTAGGTTGAAGAGAGCCCGACGTTTCGGAAGCACATCGTCTCCATCTTCTGAGTCATGTAGTAAGTTAAGAAAGAAGCCTCAAATCGTCTCTTTTCTTCCCTAAGAATCAGATACGCAGTTCCACGTACATACAAAACGAAGAGGTAAAATTATAGTTTTGTCTATTTTAGTCTTTAGGAATCCAGAATAGATCGATCAATCGGCATAGCGACGGACTATGAGCTGGGCGACTGGGGGTCGATTCCCGGCAGGTGCGAGACATTTTTCTCTACTCCCTAGCTTCCAGACCGGCTCTGGAACCTACCCAGCATCCTGTTCAATGAGTTCCGGGGGTTCTTTTGTCGGGGATATAGCAGCCGGGGCGTGAAGCTGACCACTCATTTCCGCCTAGTGCCGAGGTGAAGAATGGCGGAGCTACACCTCCATTCCCCCATACGTCTTAATGGC